CCTTGTTCTGAGTGATACTATCCTAAAGGTGAGGTTTGCTTAGGGAGAGTTGAGGATGTGTGAGTTTGGGTTCCACAATGATCGAAGTAATAGAAAGAGTTCCTTTGATGTGTTGAGTCAACTCTTTCTATTACTCCTTCTTGCTTAAGTTTCGATTAGAAATGTGTACAAAATAGTCCCAAAGGCTCACAAATTGTGCTTGATTGCAGGTTTGATCATCAAGGTGACAAGGTGCTAAAAACCAGCTCAAAAAGGAGTGAAACTTGCACAAGTACCAAGACAAGACCAAGCTCAGTCAAACAGGGCCAGTACGGCCGCACACCATTCTGTGTGGTCCGTAAGGATGAAGTTCAGAGACTATGCTTTTCAGGCCATCAGGCAATGCGACCGCAAAGAGTTTTGTGCGGTCCGCATTGGGCTCATTGCGGCCGCACTCGATTTTGTGCGGTCCGCAGAGCCAAGGTTCAGAGAGATGACAATTGGAGAATTATGCCCAATGCGGTCCGCGGTCCATTTTGTGCGGACCGCAGTAGAAGCCACCGCGGCCGCGGTGCGTTTTGTGCGGTCCGTGGTGGCCAAACTTCAGAGAGCAGAAAAGTCAAGCCAAGAGCCTTATTGCGGCCGCACTCGATTTTATGCGGTTTGCACTAGCCCCACGGGGTATTTTTGTCCAGAATTTTTAGCCTAGTATAAATGGTTTCTTTTCCCATTTTTAGGTCATCAGTTAGATTCTAGAACAGAGCTGCGCTCGTGAATAGGCTTTTCTTGCCATTTGGAGTAATTTTACAATAGTTTTACCATTGATTCTTCAAGTTTTAATTAGTAATTTAATTTTATGGGTTTATCTTCATCTATTTCTTTGTTTTTCTCTATTATCATGAGTAGCTAGACCCATCAGCTAGGGTTGTGGCTCAACCCTAATGTGGGTAATTGATGGGTCTTGTGTTTTAAGGTTTGAATGTCTATGGGTGTTTGATATTTGGACTAATTTATGGTTTTATTGTTGAATTAGTGGTTGCAAATACTAGTTTATGCTTTGTTGATTTTGGCTCTTCTTGAGAAAGAGAGCCTAAGTCTCTAGAATTAGTCCAACAAGGAATTGGAGCGTACTCAAGAGAATTGATAGCCCCAATTAAAGGGTTAAACCGAGAGATCGTAATACCCAACTTGAACCTCAATTGATTGCACAAATGATCATACCCAATTGATCTTGAGAAAGTCAACTAGGGCAAAATCACTCGAACTACCAAGAGGTATAGAGTGGGTAGAATCGTGCGATGGTTATATCGTAATCCCCAAATATGACAACCTAGCCTTAGACACAAGAACCCGTTAATTATCCACCTAGGTGATAGTCACTCCCCTAGTGCCTTTTAACCAATTAGAACATCCTCAATAGTCTCTTCTTAGCTTAACTTAGCTCAATTTAGTATACTGGTAGTAAACTTAGAAGTTAAATCAAAAACCAAAAATATTTAGAAGTGTAATTAGGAACAATTACGCAACTCTACTTAGATAGAACCTCAATTCCAATTTCTAGCTCCATGTGGAAATCGATCCCGACCTCATCGGGTAAAAGCTGCTTCGACCTCTCTTGCTACTCTATAGTAGTACAGGGTTGGCCTCGATCAACTATACTTGGAGTTTTGTGCTGACTCTGAAGCTGAGCGATAGCAACCTGTTGAGCTTGTAGCATCTCGAATATTACTTGGAAGCTGACTCCCCCGTCTCCTAGACCTTGTGTTCCTTGGCCACCAGATCGGGCTTCCCTGCGTACACTTCCTCCGGTGACCGCGCCTAAATCCGCATCCAAAGCAATGTGCCAACTAACATCGACTGGCTCCCTATTTGGCACTTCCCCAGTGTTAATCGGTGGTACATCGACCCCTACATTGTTGTTTTTCCCATGAAATCCAAGACCCTCATCGCCGTGCACGGATGCGTTTTGCGAGTTTGACATATTTTAACCTGAAAGTAAGAATTCTTGACAAGAACAAGTGTGAAAATAACGTGTGTTATCAGAATCAGTACTGAAATAATCACTATTATCTTTAGCCCAACGGTGGGCGCCAAACTGTTTACCTCGAAAATACGAGTAAAAATTAAATTTGATTTATGGTTTTAAAGATACGTGATTTAGTTCAATACTAATTAATAACCAAGAAATCTGAAGTATAAATGAAAGAAATATGTAAATCCAAACCAAAATGTAGGTTAGTCTCGACCTCGAGCCAAAGTGACCTCGAGATGAATCAAGAACAGTAAAGCAAGAATAATAAAGCTAAAGGACAATTCTGATGAACAATGAACAAAAATGTAAGAGAGTATATTCTTTGCCAATGATTGATTGCCTTTTACAAATGATTGGGGTCCCCTTTATATAATAGGGGAACCCTAAATAAGGTACATTTCCATTTACGGTAAGAATCTTATTGGGACAGCTGTCTAACCGCCTAGTACGGATTCGTACAAATCTATTCCGGGATTTACGCCGCGATCTTGAGAACATGACAGGAATCTAGCTCATTCTGTTATAAATCTATAATGGCATTATCTCGAGGCTAGTCATATTAGGCTCCGGCGTTCCTCGAACATTTAGTTCTTCGAGCCTCGTGCTTCGTCCTCAGGTTCGAACTCGGTCCATAGTGAGTCCGTTCCTCGACATGAGCCTTCGAGCCCACAAAATCGGGAGTACCTGATTTCACCGTATACAAATAAAGAGGTGGATGTAAGATTTGTATTTGACAGGTTTAATCTTCAAGTTCTTATTATGAATTTATTAGACTTCTAAAATTATAGGTTTACAATTAATAAATTTGTTATAATTAATTATTTTTCACATATGTATCTATTCTCCATAACTATATGATAAATCTTCGATTGTTGCTAATTTAATATAGACATCGGAATTAATTAGAAGAAATTTAATATTGATGACAAAAGAAGAATAGGGATTTCAATGTTTGGTCTTGGGGATTTTAAAAGACAAAACCAAATAAAGAAAGAAAAAAAAAAGAAGATTTAATTTTCTGAAAAAAAAAGAATAGGGATTTTAATGTTTGGTCTTGTGTTATGACTTATCACTTGAGCAGCATTTATTATGAAGTTTCTCTATTCTCAAATTCAATTCAATACTTTACAACAGAGGAGGACCCACGTCGTGGGTTGAGGAGTCACGGGACCCCGTTAACCTTGGCAAATATATATATATAT